TATAATAATAAAAATACTTTTACAGACTTTTCCAAGGTTGCTGTGATGAAGAACAACTGCAAATGCAACTCTTGCTTAAATTGAAGCACTTGCAGGAAAACTGTGCTTTTGTAACTGGATTATATTAATTTATACAGAGCCACTAGTGTAGAATAGCACTATTTGCTTTTAGATGAAAGAGGTGCAGGTTGTGTCACTGCTAACATTTGTAAACATGCTTACAATACTAAGTGATTTATTTAAATTAATTTGATTAGCTTAAACATGCATGAAACTATTGTGATCTGTTCAGAGCCTGGGAATTTTCTGCCACAATGTCACGAGGCAAGGACTCACAATACAAAACTAAATATAGAAGCTGTATTACAGCACAAAAGCCATTGCTGAACCCCATGCAGAGTAAAATCCTTTGATCCTCAGAAAAATGTTGATCTGGCTAACTACGGTAACAAAAAGCCTTTTATTCGGCCCTCATCTACAGTGCATTTCACAGTGACAGTAAGTCCTCTCATAGGATTTTACAAAAACCATATGTTTTGCAAAAATAATAGTGGAAAAGCATCAATTATGTACTTTTGACCACATCTTTTTAAATGTATGAAGTGGGGAAGTGTTTTTTTGGGAAGATTTTTTTCCCCACTCATTCCATTCTTGTCTGAATTTCTTTCTTGAAGGGATCATTTTCAGGAGCCAGTAGTTTTGTGTGAAGTCAAGTATGTTCTTCTGTTATTTAAATGGCAAATTAATCAAGTGTGTGCATGCAAATTCTAATATTGGATGACAGCAGGTACACTCAGCTGTTACTGAACTGAACTATAATGTTTACAAACAAGACCAGCTTAGAACAAATTGTGAAATACTACAGGTTGTCTACATTAAACCATTAAACTTGTCTAAAATATTGCCATCTCTTCCACTAAAATATTCAGATCCATACGATATTCAGTCATTGTAGCACAATTTCTACTTAATTCAGCTTAATGCACTGATTCTGGGACTAAGAGACTGTCCATTTTCTGAAGCAATAATATGTTGACAGGCACAGCGTGACTATTGCATGCGCAGTAGCTCCCACAATGCTTCCCTACGGGGAAGCATTCAATTGGCTGTGATCATCAATGATGATGATCTCATGCAGAGGATTTGGAGTGGTGGCCATGGTGAGACCAGAGCGCCGGTTGGTTAAAGCAGTGGTGCCTTAGATCTGGGAAACCCAAGTTTCAAATCAGACCAGCCATACCACCTCACTAGTAAGTCTTTTTGGCAAGACAGTACATAAATACCTATCTCACATCCTCATAGACTGTAAACTTGTTTGAGAAGGGCCCTTTTCACCTCTAAATATCCCCTTTCTATAACTGTAAAAGTGCCGCAGAGTATGTTAGCACTATATAATTATAATAAATGATTTTTTGGGGGCAATCGTAAAAATTACTAGTATAACATTTTAACGTTAGGAATACATATGGACTGGCAGTTCAGCAAATATCAAAGCGATTGAGGAGAATGTGATGTTCTTAAGTGTTAACCTAGTACCTTAGGTTTAAAAGTGTTACCTTATAAACACTCTAAAAACAACAGTGACAAGAAAAAGGAAAAAACCCAGAAGTACAAAATAATGTGAATCACCAAAAAGTGATAATATGTAAATGAATACAAACTGAATATATGTTGAGATATTTAAATGCAAGATGTATCTGTAGAGAGATATACAAACAATATATAGTGTAATATTGTTAGAGACCACTTGAGAATATGGGTGGTAGAAAACTCACAAGGGTAAGATGAAATCAGGCATATCTCCCTCTGTATTTAAGGGACTGGAAAGTATATACTTAATATCCATAATCCCTAACTTTAATAAATTCACTTTAACCAAATAAACATATATGGCTTCAACACTATGTAACTTTTTTTTAAAATATATATTTGTCTGCACACACAATTGATTTTACTATAAATGCTGAATTGCTACTAAATTTGATAGAATTAACAAGTCTGGGTGAAGTCAACGAGGTTTTCCATTGAATTCAATGGTCACACATAATTTATATATCGACATTTTGTTTCTTAAAGAGGCACTCCAGACTGAAATTGATTTCTTAGAAAGCAGTTTAGTTACTTTGGAGTATTTCATAAAGATATAATTGTTATGAAATAAACATATTGACTTTGCTGGAATTTCATTGAAATGTAAACGCAATCAAATGAAGTCATAGTCAAAGTATAGACTATTTTGTCTTATGGGCAAAGTCAAAGTTGACATAAGGTGGAGCTTCACCCATCAACTTTTGTCAATTGCCAGCAGTTGTCTTTAGAGACAGCTATAGGGCAAGGCTTCAACCTGTGTATTTCATAAGTATTTCCATGGTGGATTACAGCATCTCCCGTTCACCTCAATGTCCAGTACTTCATATCATTTCTTTTTTGTTACCTTTCTCTACAAAACCCATCGCTCCCTTCAGATCAAGAACAAAGGTTAAAGGGACACTCTAAGCATTATAGTTTATTATAGTTATAGTTCTGATGTTGTTAGTAAACTGTCTCTGAAACTTTACCTGTCTGTCTTGTCCATTGAGATATCCAAACATAGCAGGTACATGGAACGATTTTGTGTGTGTGCTCACAGCACACCTCCTGCAAGTTAATGAGACTAACTTGAGTGAGCAAGCAGTTTGCACTCCCTCTGTGCAAACGTTAAGATTTCTCATACAATTATCAGTGAGAGGAGGTGGAGCCGAGACACAGGATGAAGATATGAATCAAGGATATGAGCTTAGAGGGTACATTTTCAGGGGCAAGTCCTTAGCACCATAACTACTACACTAAATCAAAGGGCCTGTTTAATTTGTCTGTTCAATTAAATTTGATTCACTGTTATGGTGTGGCATTTGTTGGTTCTTTGGTTACCATAAACTTATTGCAGCAAGGAAGAGAAGACATTTGATGAGAATTTAATTTTGCCTCTTTATAAATCACTTGAATATGCTGTGCAATTTTGGGCACCTGTTCTAAAGAAGGAAGGTGCAGAGGCGGGCTACAAAATTAATAAAATGAATTAAACATTTTAGCTACGAAAAAAGGTTAACAAATGTAAAACCTCTTTGATTCAGAAAAAACAGCGCCTCAAAGGGCATATGATAACATTATAAAAATATATTTGGGGCCAATACTCTGATAATATATTCGCAAACAGGACTATACATAGGAATGAGGTCATGCGTTTAGAATGGAAGAAAGGAGATTTAGTCTAAGGCAAAGGAAAGGTTTTTTTATTTACAGTAAGAACAATAAGGATGTGGAATTATCTGCCTGAAGAAGTGGTTTTATCAGAGAACTTACAGCTGTTTAAACAGCAACTAGATGCATACGTGCAAAAACATAATATTCAAGGATTTAATTTTTCAATAGTAGGGTAATATCGTCTTGATCCAAGGATTAATCTGACTGCCATTCGGGGTTCAAGTAGGTATTTTTCGTTGTTTGTTGCAAAATCGGAAGAGCTTAAAACTGGGTTTTTTTTGCCTTCTTTTGGATCAGCAGCAAAAAAACAAATGCGAGGAAGGCTAAATTTCGATGGACACATGTCTCTGTTCATACTATGTAACTATAAGTAAAATATTTCTGCCATTCACAAACAATGACTTGATAATGAGACACATTACAGCTATAAACATGGCAAATATGCTTTAAAAGATGAAAAAAGAGCAGAATTAATACATACATGCTTATAAATTCATGCCCAGGGGAAAGTCATTTTCCCTCACAAACAGAGAAAAAAGTATCAAAATCAATAGAACAGTCTTTATTTATTTATTAACATAGGGCAAGTATATTATGCTGAATTGCATAAACACGCACACACACACTAAATGGACAAAAGTATTGGGACACCTGTCCAATACACAAACTGGGAGTTTCATGACATTGCAAACTAAACACATTAATATGTAGTTGATCCAGACTTTGCCGCTATAACAGCTTCCACACTTCTGGGAAGACTTTCCACAAGGTTTTGGGTTCTGTGGGAATTTTGCCAATTCATTCTTGTGAGGTAATGATATTGGACAAGAAGGCGTGGCTCGCAGTCTCCATTCCAGTTCACCCCAATGGGGTCAGGGTTCTGTGTGGGCCAGTCAAGATCTTTTTACACCAAACTCACCAAACCATCTCTTTATGGTCCTTGCATTGTGCGCTAGGGAACAGTCATGCTGGAATAAAAAAGGGCCTTCCCTAAACTGTTCCCACAAAGTTGGTAGTATAGTCCAAACTGTCTTGGTATGCTAAAGCATTAAGATATCCATTCACTAGAAGTAAGGGGCCTAGCCCAACCCCAGAAAACCAGCCACATATCATTATACCTCCTCAACCAAACTTTACAATTCGCACAATGTAGTCATACAGGTAACGCTCTCCTAGCATTCACCAAACCCAGACTTGCCCATCAGACTGTCAAACAGAGAAGGGTGTATTTGTCACTCTACAGAACACACTTCCACTGCTCCAGAGTCCAGTGGTGGTGTGCTTTACACCACTCAATCCCACGCTTGGCATTGTACTTGGTGATATGAGTCTTGCATACAGCTGTTTGGCCATGGAAACCCATTCCATGAAGCTCCCATCGCTCAGTTTTTGTGCCAATATTAATTCACGTATAAGTTTGGAAGTCTTCAGTTATGGAATCAGCACAGTGTTGGCAACTTTTATGCACCATGCGCCTCTGCACTCTGTGACACCGCTCAGTTGAACGTGGAATATCTAGTAGGGATGAAATTTTACGAACTGACTTATTGCAAAGGTGGTATCCTATCACAGTACCATGCTTGAATTCACTGAACTTTTCAGAATGACCCATTTTTTCACAAATGTTAATAAATGCAAACTGCATTGTTAGGTGCTTGATTTTATACACCTGTGGCAATGGGTCTAATTGAAACAATATATATATATATTTTATATCGTGTAGATTGGATTAGCCATATTAGTCCAGTAGACAAGATGCCAAAATACTAGAGTATTGCAGTATGCAATGATACCTTTTAGATTGATCATTATTGCTTCTGACCTAAGGAAGAGAGAAAAACTCTCGAAAGCTTGTCTTTGAAATATTACGTTAGTCCAATAAAAAAGGTATCATTGCATATGGCAATACTCTGGTATTTTGGCATTTTATATATGTTGTCCTGAGGAAAGTCCCGAACCGGGACTGAAACGTTGATGAATTTTTGGCATCTTTTCTTTTACATGTAATCAATAAAAGCTATATTTTATAAAGACTGTGAGTGCGGACCATCAGCTTGATCTCTCACTCTCTCTCTATATATATATTATAGCATAGTTTTTTTTCTACACTAGCATTATATTTCTAAAAAATATATTTTAACGTACACATGGCTTTCCGTCTATAAAAATACTATGATATTTAACTTGTTAGTGTACCCTATGCTAATGTAAAATGCCACAGAAACCTTGGCAATGTCATATGAATTATCCTGATTAAAAATGTGAAGTTTTCTTAAATAGTCTGAGCGCATTAACTGATGGAGACAGCTCTCCTATTTATTACTATTTTAGACAGTTCTGAAGGTAATGGGGGGATTTTCATTGCGCAGCTCAAGTGATATATTAAAAAGTGACAATCATTTAAAATTCTTTCATTTTAGTGCTAGGAGACATTGCATTAAGCTCACAAGAATGAACTTGACAAAACGCCCAGAGATACGGAGAGGCAAAAAAAAAAAAGAATCCATAATATACAGCCTAGTGCTGATGGCTGAAGGGAAGATTGCTGTCCTAGCAATTTTACATCAAGCTGGTTAATCACCATGGTAACATAATATATTACAAAATAAAGTTGCAACCCAGAAAAAAAGTATGTATTACTTTGCACACACAGAATAATATTTTCAATAAACAGGTTTTACTAAAGCATGAATTTGGATTAAATTCTTTACTTTTTGGTAATAGAGGACTATGGATGGCTATTTTTTTTTCTCAACTGATATTTTCTGGCAGGTTAGTTTTGATGGCAGCTTCCCCAATACTCCATGTGACACTCCCTGTGGTCCCCAAAACAGACCAAGGTATATTACCAGAGATGATATGGGGACACAGCAGTTAAGAATCTAGCTGAAGAGATGGATTTATGTTGGATGTGGTAATATAACGTAGGCTTCTTTTCCAACATGTGACATTTCCCTAGTAAGCACATTGCTACTAGAGCAACTACAGGGCATGTGAGATAGTTACTATGATGGAGAAGAGGAGAGCTGTTTGTAAGAAGATTCTGTTACTCAAATACATACACAGACATCAATGTGAAGAAATGACTGATATATGGTAGAGTTGTTTTTTTTAATTTGTACTTGTCATGTACAAATCCATCCATAATGAGTGTGCCATGGACTCTTCAGGATTGCAGGGGCAAGTAAATTTTAAGGCTAGTAGCATAGGATTTGAAATTTGATATACACAAACACACATATTGTTTTACTTAGTAATTTGGAACAAACTAAGTGTTAAGGAAGTAATAGCGAAATATAACTAAACCATATGTTTCCAAAAAAACTGTTTTCTCTATACGGATATGTCGCTGGATTTTTTCACGTTATTTTTTATTTTATTTTTTTTACCAAATGTATACCTTAATTTACTTGAACATTTAATTTACTAATGTACCTCATCCATTGCAGCACAGCAAACAGCATTCACTTGCGGTTAAAAGCTACTTCAGGAGACGCCTTTACCCACATCCAGTGAACCAAAGTGATATTAACGACGCATGCAAATAACAAAAGGTTTGAATCACTTGGATACCACGACACACTAAAGCAGGAGCATGTGATTTAACACACAATGATCACATGTTTCCAATCCAGTGATGGCAAGTGATTTTGAGCCCAAATACCTAATCATCTTAGAGTGCCTGTTTCCTTCCCCCACCATCTCTTAGCTCTCCCGGCCATATCTGCTTCTTGTCCCCGACACATTCAGACGCTCTCTTCTCTCCATATTCTTTCACCTATCTGCTGCCTATTAGCTCCTTCTATTTCATCTTACAGCAACATCCCTCTTTATCTGTTCCCCTTTCCATCTTTTATATATGCACTACGTCCAACCAAATTCTATAAATATTCCCTTTATAATACCTTCATATAATTCTGCTTTCCCCACTACTCTTTGTTAATATACCATTTATACTTTTCAAAATTGTTGCTTTTTCTATTACAGATACACTTTTGAACATGTAACTAGCAGTGCATCAAGCTTTTAGCATTGCAAGATATTACAGATGTGAATTTACACCTGCTTGTCAACCCCCCCTCTCCCATCAGTCTGACTCCTTGATTGGTGCAGGAGATGAGCATAATATTTTCTTTTCTGTACACGTTATGTCTTGAATCCTGCACCCTTGAATCGCGATTTTAACTCTGTTACTGTATAAGGAAGGGAAGGAAGAAAACATGGAGGGGGGTAGGAGGAAGAAAAGAGGGAGGGAAAAAAGGAGTGGGGGAGCAAAAGAAGGAAGAGGAGGAACAAGGAAGGGATGGAGAGTAGTATGGAGGTAAGAAAGGTAAAAAAAAAAAAAAACACTCGCCGGCACTGAACTTTCACTCATCAATGGCGAAGGGAGAGTGGAAATGTTCTGCCCTGATAATCGGTTTACTTTAATAAATAACTATTTGCTCACTCCCTGTAGCCAAGGCATTACAAGATTGTAAGCCAAACTGTTCTGTAATCTGTGTCTGTTAATAGACTACTTTTACATATTAGTAGTGTCACAATAGGAGAGCATTATCAATGAGATGCAGAACATCACTAAAAGCTCACATTTGAAGAACACATTTGATATATGTATGTAGATAAAAGGTGCATGTAGTGACCTAAGTGTTTATCAGAACGCAACAGTGACAGGAAATCAATAGTAAAAGGCTGTTCAGAAGCTATGCAGAGGGTAAACTATGCCATAATGTCATTTGACAAAAAAATATATAAACAAAACATGTTTCCAACAAGTACTCTCAACCTTTTATGACAGAACTCAACATGTTTATAAGACTTGGCAATTGGTTCTTCAATTGTAAAATTATTTCAGTGACCCATTCTTCAACTGTAATATAATATACAATTAAAGGGATACAACTTGAGCTTCATGAAGCAGTTTTGGTGGATAGATCATGCCCCTGCAGTCTAACTGATCAACTTTCTCTGTTGTTTTCTGCTTTTACAGCCCTAGCCACACTTCCCCTGGCTGTGACTCACACAGCCTACATGAAAAAATAAAGGTTTTATTTTCAATCACAGGTGACAGAGTACAGTGTATTTACGTTAGACATTTTTATCTCCTGCTCTGTTAATTGAAGTTTAATCACACACAGATCCTGCAGGTGCTAGCAGACTATTAACAGAGCAGGGTAGAAGAAGACATTCTAAATTAAGCAAATTGTGCAATAAAGGAGTTTTATATCTAACTTTCCAGGAAATGTGCAGAGTGACTGCTTAGATCACATGTAGAGGAGGTGTGATTAAGGCTGTATAAACAAAGTGATTTAAGTTGTAAACTTTCAATAATTGGGCAGTTAGACTGCAGGGGCATGGCCTATAAACCAAAACCACTTTCTTAAGCTGAAGTTGCTTTGTTGCTTATAGTGTCCCTTTAAAATAAATTCTGCAAAACTCCTTCATTAGGATTCAAAGGAGTACACTTTGTACTGGTGAAGGCAGAGTTACTAGAGTAAACATTTATGGACCTCTAGAACATAATGTGCATGTTCCACCATTGGGACCAATTTAAAGGACCACTATAGTGCCAGGAAAACATACTCGTTTTCCTGGCACTATAGTGCCCTGAGTGTGCCCCCACCCTCAGGGACCCCTTCCCGCCGGGCTCTGGGAAGAGGAAGGGGTTAAACTTACCTCTTTCTCCAGCGCCGGGCGGGGAGCTCTCCTCCTCCTCTCCTCCTCTTTGGCTGAATGCGCATGCGCGGCAGGAGCTGCGCGCGCATTCAGCCAGTCTCATAGGAAAGCATTCATAATGCTTTCCTATGGATGCTGGCGTTTTCACAGTGAGAAGCACGCAAGCGCCTCTAGCGGCTGTCAATGAGACAGCCACTAGAGGCTTTAGAGGCTGGATTAACCTATTTATAAACATGGCAGTTTCTCTGAAACTGCTATGTTTATAAAAAAAAAAAAAAAGAGTTAACCCTAGCTGGACCAGGCACCCAGACCACTTCATTAAGCTGAAGTGGTCTGGGTGCCTATAGTGGTCCTTTAACAGGGTTATTCACTGAAGTGAAAATCGAGGAGAATTCAAAGTCAAAACTCATGAACTGGAAAGATTCTCTAACTCAGCTATGCTTTCAGTTCAGCAACTCTGGTCTTACATTTGGAATTCACTTTGAATTTCAATTTAGTAAATAAGCATGTAAAAATAGCATTGGGACCTGGTTGGGATCCTAACCTAGGGGTTGAGAACCACTGCACTAGACTGAGTCAAGCAAATAGACAACCATAGAAAGCAACACAGTGGAACTCTGCAACACCTTTTTCGGTTCTGACAAATCACTTTTAGGGTTACAGCTAAAAAGCTATTTTTGTGCAGAATTTTAAAAGTGGGGCAATCAAAATTGGAGCCACTTAAATGTTTTACTTACTTACTTTTACAACTTTGCTCCCAAATTACCCTCAATCTATATATCCACCCTCAATCTATATATCTTGGAAAAAGATACACTTACAATGCATCCATTTATACAACCTGGGCATGAAATAAAGGCCATGTCACATTTTTTGCTGGAAGCCAACAACCGTTTTCAGGAAATTGTATTCCCCCATCATAGATAGTTTCACAGTATATAAAAATGTTGGTAGTTATATTATATTAAGTTCTATGACTTAATCTTCAACACTCTTTTGAAGCGAATGTTACATATTGAAATAGAACACAATACCCTTAAAAATAATGTGTTAAAACACACTTCTTGAGTGAGAAATATAGCATATAGAAAAAAATGAATTAGATGACAACACGAACACACACAAATAAATAATACATTGAACACAGACAAAAATGCATGCAAGCAAAACTTTATTTTAAACATGAATTGGGACTAAAGGCAATAAGAAAAATTCTGTATGAGGAACCTACCATGTTAGTGGAACAAGTA